GTACCCATAATCCGACTTGGGCAGTTGGTTTCGCCGCAGCTTTTTGAAGGTGTGCAGTCCGGAAGATATCGGGATGGTCGACGGATAGCCGCCACTTCAGCTTTGTCATACAAACATGCACTTTACCGTGTGACACAGAACGTCTTTTATCTATACAATAATTGGGTGGGAGGTTTAACAGGAGTAAGCACCGCTGCTTGGTGATCGCGCTCGCTTGCTCTCTACCGGTATGCCGCTGTAAACTCAACAGAACAGTGATTCTACTCGACTAGTACGTAGTACATCGCAGGCTCAGAGATCGCAAACACATTGGCTAACCGTAACTCAAGTTTCGGAAAATAGAGATCGGCTAGCTGAAATTACGTGTGTAGAATGAAAATAGGCGAAAATCGCCTAACAAACGTAACCTTCTCTTGTTATCGCGAGCCGTAGCCAGAACGCTCGATTATCGGTAAAAGAAAAGAGATCATCAGGTACCCATCCTCTGATGAGTTCGCCAACCAAAAGGTATCGTTATGGACTCCATTACCTACCGATCCCGCGAGTCGGTATTCCAGAGGCAAACTTTCGGCTAACACTATCCGCCGTGGTTACGGCTAAACTCTCCACGTAACTATTTGCGACTTCGTTCGTTATAGGGGCTATTCGACGTTCTCATATCGAGAACGAGTGATTTACACCCAACAGTACGGCCTTCCCACACCAAAAATGGGTGAGCACCCATAGAATGTGCAAACACAACACGGAGCACGCTGTAATTGCACAAAACAGTACCATCATGGCACCGTGAATTACTTAAAACACCGTCAGAATGTGTCAGCACAGAAGAGTGCTGTAGTAACACAATAAGTGGTTTCGGCTCTGCTCGCTGCAGGAAGCGCGCAGACAAGGTGAGCTTGGGTCTTCGCTGGCCTATCAGCGGTGGCCGTGCAGATATGTGGCGAATGTGGCCCACATAGGTTTAAAGCTGCTGGACGTCACTCGCAGAGCTCCTGTTCGGCGAGTGTGGCCATGCCGAGGCGTGTGCCGTGGGAGGAGAGGGCCGTCGGCATTGACGCTGCCGCGGCCGACGCTGTGATGGAGACGATGAAGGCGTTCGAGATCCAGAAGAGTCAGACGATGGCATGCAGCATGTGTATTGACGCAGAGCACAAGATGCGTTACCGCCTACTTACATGCAGCTCCGGCCTTTGCTGCGAAGCTAGTGAGTTAGACTGCGAGTGGCGAGGAAAGATCGTTACGTGCCTGGAGACAGCGCACGTATCTATTTTCGAGTATGGAGCTCACAACACCCGTGTATCCTCTCCAAAGAGCAAGAAGCTCACTACTACGCAGAAGATCTACTGCCGCGAGCTCGCTGATGAGCACCTCCGACCTATGCGTATTCGCCACGCTCTAGCTCGAAAGTTCTCGACGCCTCTTGAGGATCTCCCTCCCTTAAAGACTGTCCAGAACTTTGTGAATAATTACTCGCGAACTTACCTTGAAAATCACGACCGAGTACAGGAGCTCAGGGCCTGGGTCCACGCGCGTGCGTACACCGGCTTGGAGACAATGACGCAAACGTTCACGTTTGGATGGGAGCTAGACAGCAGTGGCAAACCGATTGTGGGCAATGGGTCCGACGAGAAACCCTTCATTGTGGGTCTATCAACGAAGGCGTTAATGCTGCGACTTACTGTGCCCCCACAGAACTTCATCTTACACGTTGACGGGACGTATAAGATGAATCAGTGTGACTATCCAGTTATAGTGGTGGGGATATCTGTCAGGTCGCGCAGATTTCACCTAGTTGCTCTATTTGTGGTCTCACAGGAGACTCAGTCTGTATTTGAAGCTGTATTCTTTTCGTTGCGACGAATCTACTTCTGGATCACCAAGAACGACCTACGCATTCAGTACGCGATGGCAGACGGCGATAAGGCACAGTGCAACGCCCTTGCGTTGGTGTTTGGAGGCAATCCGTCTTACCGCTTCCTAATGTGCTTCTTCCATGTAATGAAGAAGGTTCAAGAGCGTATTCGGAGCTTTTCCTCCGGTGTGGCAGCCACCGTACTTCGGGAGGTATATGACCTGCATTTTGCACGCAGTGAAGCCGCCTATTTAGAGATGCTGCGTGTCATTATGACGCGGTGGCTGAAGGAACCTGCGTTGGTCCAATTTGCTCAGTACATGCATGGACAATGGTTGACTGGTCTCTTCACTACGTGGCAGATATTCGCCACACCCAGTGGCTTCGCAACGACTAATAATCCAGCCGAAACGTTTAACGCGTTGATAAAGCGGGACTATACGCTACGTCGCCGCTTAAAAATGGGCACTTTACTACGAGAGTTGAGCGCCTGTTGCCAAGATCAATCGTCCAGTACGAAGGCATTCGAGTTTGGCGTGGTTCCGACACCAACCCTCGCGCGTCGGGTATCGGAGTTGGTACGAGCACAGCTCCTAGGGATAGCAGAAGGACAAGAAGTGGATGCAGTGAGTGGAGGAGTAGCTGGAGAGCCCAATATCATTCGTGTCATATCGCTACCTGCCCCTCGTGTCACGGTGGCGCCTAATAAACGGACGGAGGAAGGTATAGCTGTTTCCGCGCAGATGGGGGTCAATTACGCCCGCAAAGAGGTCGAAGGACAGCCGTTTGGTGGTTGGCACGTGGATGCCGAGCGACAGTGGTGTCAATGCGACTACTGCTACGCATTTGGTACGTGCATTCACGTCCTGTACGCCCTGCGAGCTACTACACACGTTGACAGCAGTGGGCGCGACATTTTAGTCAACAGGAAGAAGCGGAGACGTTATGGAGTGGCGGTCCTGCCGGTTGTAGGCCGTCCGCGCACAATCGGACCTGCACTTAGCTTTGAATGACTTACACGACGTTTGCTCAAGCGTCGTGTGTGGCCCCGACGCACTTAAACACTTTATACAGCATCTTACATCTTCAGCAGACATAGTAAGTGTCCTGTAAGCGAAAGCGGTACAGTTTGCATGACTCCAGAATTTGTATTCTTTCCTTTTACATGCTAAAACTGTGTTTACTTCCTGCTAGCATTATGTACTTCGAGATACACCTGAGGGTATGCACCACAACCGCAAGCTAGTCATCTCCATCGTCGTCTTTGGTTTTCTCCCAACATTCATCACACGCACACTTAAACCACCTCTCATTCCCGTAGTGTACGGTAATTTCTGCACCAGCTTTGACGTCGCGAATCATCTTTACAAGCACCTTGACGCTGGAACGGTTGGACTGCTCTACGAAGGCGGCGTTGGGGTCACAGGAATGACTTATGAAACGGGTGATAGAGCCGCACTTGAGCGCATCTACGTAAACGTAGTTTCGTTTCGTAGACTTCGCATTGTACAGCAGTGTGTAGCCGCTGTTTTGCTTGGTGGCTTGATCCGGCTGCCCCTCGACAATTGCTGGAAACTCACTTAATTCCCCACAATACTCGCCAACAACGTCACCGATATCCAGCCAGGTCGTCGTGAAGACGCCTAAACCAACTCGTCCAGTATCGAAACGTTTTAATGTATCGAGCGTGCGTGGAGCATTGCTGCACATCGCACCGAGGCTGCAGCAATCAGGAGTGCAAAACGTAGCACTGAAAACGTTCTTACAACCGTCGAGGAAACAATCAATGACGCACTCGCACTTATCAAACTTTCCGATGTCTGGAAAGAGAACGCCATTGCTTTTGCAGCTCGTTAGGTGCTCAACGTCATCTGGCCACTCCAATCCTTGGTGCTGCAGCGACGTCGCTTCCTCCTCCTGGGACGGAGTCTCCGGCAATGACTTGCGTCGATCATGAAGGTTCTGTAGGCGACGTTTTACCTCTGGTGAACTCAGAATGTCTTTCATACGACTCGCCTTCAACGTCCTGGCATGATAGACGTTCATGCCACTACTAGTAACCGCAGCACACTTCTTCTGATTACAGCGCTTCCTCGACCTTGGCACATGCCACTCAGCACGCCTCTTCTTAGGCTGGTGGCGAATCTTGGCTCGTACATACCGGGTTGGGATCGCCTTCACGTACGCAGCAGCCTGATCCTCCGTAGATACAGCAACCCCACGCTCGTCATCTTCTTCGGACGAAACTAAATTGATAATCTCCAAAATAGACGGTCTTCTGCCTTCTTCCTCTCTTGTATTCTCCTTCACGTCATGACTAGCAATTGCTCCAGACGTTAGCGCCTCCATCGCATCAGATTTGGAGCTGCTAAGTGCGGTCCCAGGCTGAATGTGTGTGTTTAGACTATCGAAGTCCGATTGAGGGCTCTCAGGGACAGTATCCTCACGCATATCTCGTAGTGCCTGATGAACGGCTGCTACTGCATCACCCACAACACTCTGAAGCGCTCGTTTTAGTACGCTAGAGCGTGAAGGGGCCGGCACAGATCCACCTTCGAGCTGGTAGGTCCGGAGTTTGCGCCACTGCGACTCGGACAGCGGAACCGGGGCGCCCGAGAAGTCCGACAGCCTCTTCGTCATCATATCCAACGGTATGGGCTCTTCCGTGTCGACGGAGATCGGAAAATCGACGTCAGGAGTGGTGTCCACTCTGGTGACGACTGCAATGCGCTGACCTCTAGGGTCTCCACAGACAAAGGCTCGGGTGTAATACTCAAGTGTCTCGCCGGCTCTGAGGGTCTGGGGTAGTAGATCCGACGCGCTCAGCCCCACCATCGACAACGTCCCGCTGCTGGAGGCGCTGGTAGCTCGTTGGTTGTGGTCGCTGCTGCTGGGACCTGCGGGAAGATACGATAATGAGTGTAAGACCACACAAAACAGCAATGACACGCTACATTCATCGCACCTTCATGTGACCTGCTTTCGCTGGCTTGTCAACCCTACCCCACTGTACAGACCGAGAGCCGCCTACTGCAAATCTTAAAGCTGGCCTGTCCGCGTTTATTGTGGGGGATGGGCTATTGTGTTACTCAGATTTCTACAGACAACGACGGTGAAACTCAACCCCCCACAAAAACTCGACCCCCCTTACAGTGCAACTTCAAACTCGAGTAAAAATGTTATTTGTAATTTTAGCCAATAATATACTTCCAAATATATTGCTGGACAGCACGCCATGCTGGCGACGTTTAAACAATCACGCTATTGCTGTTTTCTGCGAAGTGATGGACGAACGTCGTCGGCAGAACAGCTACATCGTCAAGCAGAGACGGGAAGCGCTCGAGCGGGTAGCTCTGGAGGGATGTAAGCCTACCGCTCGGGCGCTTAATATTCCATTAGGTACGTTGAAGGGCTGGAGAAAGAAGGCAAAACTGCTGTTTGAGTTTAAGGGACCTCAAACTAGCAGAACGACAAAAGGACAAGGCGCAAAGACTAAAATCACATTTGAGCACGAATTGGTCACCTTCATGAAAGACGTCCGTCGGGATGAAAAGGTAAATTTGTTTTGTTATATTATTTATTGCAGATTCTAACGTGTATATATAGTATTTGTGTACTGGAGGCATGATCGAGTATATGAAGATGGAGCAGGGGGCTTGGCTGAAGAGTATTTAGCCGATAAATCATCTCCTGAGCGCGCATTGAGCGCGTTGATGCGTATGTGCCAGCGGTTTGCAGCTCGGTAAGCATCTCGTTTTCCAATACGTTGGTTTAATCAAACGTTTTAGCAATTTATCCTATTTTATTTGTGTTTTTAATCAATATTTATTGCTTACATATTTTTCTTAATGTTATAGCCATGGTTTTTCTGTTCAGAAACCGCAATTTACTAAAAAGGATGAAGATGCACTACAAGAAATCCATTTGAGCTTTGCCATAGAGTTTTGAAAACAGCATTCTCACTTCCAGCAATCCGCCATATACAATGTCGACGAGACAGCAATATATTTTGACACCCCACCCCACAAGATTTGGGCCCTCAAAGGCCGTCGTGGCTCCGCTAAAGTGAAGCACACACAGAAATACTCTGGTAGACTCACTGCAGTTCTCACCATTAGAGCGGATGGTAAGTTTTGTTTAATGATTTAATGATTATATTATGTTTAAACTAACTTATTTATCTTTTAGGGAAAAAAACTACCAATACTGTTTATACTACGAGGAATGCCGGGCAGGACTGTGGAGACGGATGAACTTCCGACGTATCCTGCAGGCCACGTGTACACCGTCCAAGAAAATGGCTGGATGGACGCCACAGTGTGGCAAACGTACGTTTTGAACTTGCTAAAGTACGAGATTGATGCCCCGTCAATCCTCTTGCTGGACAATTTTGACTCGCATATATCCGAAGTTAGAGTTGTGGCGGAAGAGACCTCTGCAATTGTGGTCCCCGTGCCTGCTAACAGCACCTCTAATGCAAAAAACACCCTGTCGTGATGGTGTAGAGCAAAATAATACATGTTTTTGCTTTTTTACGGTGTTTGTTAAAAAAAAATTCTACTTTTAATAAACTTTTGGGTCGGTTTAATTTTGACCAATCGCAGGTGATACCACGAAAGGGGTCGAGTTTTTTTGTCTTGTTGGCCTTTCTAAAAATGACTTGAAAATGCATGTCTACGGGGGGTTGAGTTTCACCGTCGTTGTCTGTACTTGTGAAAACTATATTTTCTCCTACGCGCCTCGCACCCGCTCACCTTAGTTGGCACCGCGGCTATGGCACCCACGTCGCCCAGCCCCGTGTGTGTTATCCCAGCGATGGGCGTGTGTTTCTCCTATTTTCTCACATGTATCTACGCAAAGGAACCGCAGAGTCATTCAATTGTTTTTGAGTCGAAACATCCCATTTGAGCTTTTATGGTCTTTATCGTAACCCTGGAAAAAAAGCATATGGCTAACACAGTCTGGTCAGGTGCAGTACAGAGCAGTCGCGATGCACGGCCTGAGGTCTCTGCCGCCTACGGCTCCTACGTCTGTGACATAAGAAAAGAGAAGCGCAAGCGGCAATGCCTGCCCGACGACAAGCGCAGCAACAGGTTCCCGTGCTGGCGATCTTGTCGCTGCTGGCGTCTGCCGCCTTCGCCTCGGACACTAGTGACTTTTGCAGCTCGGTTACCTCCTGCCTTAAGGATGGCAGCACCACGTGTGACACGACCACAGGCGATTGTCCTCCATGCATCTACGCGCTCGACAGCACCTACACATGCTGGGAGAAGGACAATTCGACCAATACCTGCCCCTTCACTGGTGTCCGCTACGACTGCTGTACGTTTGCCCCATTTAGTCGACCGTGATCAATATCTGACTTGTCTTTCTGTTCCAATGCTACAACAGCCGACTCATGGGGTTCCAAACCGTCCAGCAGCACCAATAGTGCGATGTCTTCTTCGACCGACCCGACGGACCCAATCGCTGGCTCCTCCACTGCTTCCACCTCCTCGTCTTCTGAGGCCAGCACCGACACCTCGAGCTCCACCGGTTTGGGCGGACTGAGTTCTAGTCTCATCACGTACGGAGCCATCGGCGTCGGGGCTGTCTTGGTTGTAGTTATCCTTTGCATACTCTGTGCTTGGAGGCGCAAGATGCGACGCCGTCGTGAGGAGAACGTCGCAGCTACAGGTGCCGGCAACTTTGGTCGCAACCGCGCTATGTCCGACAAGCGCATGCGTGGCCTGTCGAAGCCCGACGAAGGCTTCACTGGGCCGTACAACAACATTTTAGACACCAGCAAAGTCAACTACGCATCCTCCAACATGAATGCTGGCTACAGTGGCCGTCGCAAGGGATCACGCCCAGATCCGATGGATACACAGTCTCACGTGCCCACAGATGAATCTCCGCGTAGCTTCGACGGTATGTTGGCCGATGCGTCGCAGTCGCCGGCGGTCTTAGGTGGAAACACGCGTGGTTCACGCAAAAGCGGAGGACGCAATGTCCAGGGATCCCCCGTTGTCGGAGGCATCGGCGGGTTCTCAAACGTGAGTGAATATGTGCAACAGGACATTTCCTCGCGCTGCACTGCAACACCGAACGTCTTTGGTGAATATCTACGCATGAAGCAGGAGATGCAGTATGATGAAGCCGACCGCAGTACTATGGGCGGGATGAGTGGTGTGAGCTTCAGCGATACCATCAGTGACCTGGATAGCGGCAAGTACTCGTTCCAATCGTCGCAGGGTATTGGCCGACCGCCGCAGCGGCGAACAGACTTAGACGGTCGGTCATCGATGGCCGACTCACTCACCGACTCCATCGCGGACTCGGTCACCGACTCGGAATATGCCGAGCAATTGCGTGCTCGCGGAGAGAGCGACTGCTACAGCGAGATGTCGTACAATGACGAAAAATACTCGTTCAGCAGTGTCGACGGTCTCGATGACAGTCAAGTGCGAGAGGGCAAGCGAGAGGTCGAGATTTAAGCCTTGAAAGCTTTGGGGAAGGGGGGAAATAGTCTTTCCTTAATCTGTGTTCTCCGTTGGTTGTCAGTCTCTCCCTAAATGCGTGACAATGAAACTCAATATTTTTATCAACTTGTCTCGAGTGGTCACGGTTCAACAACGTTGTGCACCAAACAGGAGAGAAGGCCGATAAAGAGAAAAGGAAAACGCTGGACACAAGCTTCTCGAGGATGCAATGTCATTCGTATGGGTTGATAAATCTGTGAAAGCATGCTTGGCGCAGATACAATGGGCATCAATGACGACGCTACCCAGATACAGTACCCAGCTTGTTATACTGCACAACCTTGAGACTGGCAATGGGACGGACATCCATATGTCTTAGCATACAACCGTCGATCCGGTCGGTTAAAACGTCTCAATGGACCTTCTTGGCGGTAGTCCTTGACCCGTCAGCAGTATCTGACTGCATGCTCTGCTGGGCGTCCGAGACATCGTTGGCTTCCATTGAGGTTGAGGCATTTCCCTCACTGCTCGTTGGACGCTCACTCTCCAGCCCGTTGATATCGGATTGGGTCGTTGCCCTCGTCTTCTCCGAGGAGTCGGCAGCTGTGGTGGAAGCCTCGACTTTGGCTCCGAAGCGCAGAATACACTCCTCCGAGATAAAGTCCAGCACCTTCTGGTAGATTCGTGAGCGAAACTCGATTCTTTCTTGTCCTTTGAGATAGGACGGCAGCGGGACGACGATGCCGTCGAAGTCTTGCATCACAAACGGGTAGGACACCTGCGCTGGCTGCGGCCCGTTCGGCAGGAACATGACACCACTTCTTGCCGTGGCGAGCACTGGAGTATGCGCTAGTGAAGATGAAGGCATTGCACCATCCACTTCGACTGTAGTCGCAGCAGCGACTTCCATCGACGATGCAGTGGGTGTACGCGGCAGCGTGGTTGGCGCAGCCTCGGCAGCTGTGTCAATCGAGTCCACTTCGTCCGACGCGTCAGCTGAAGGCGCAAATGATTGAAGTTTAAATGACGCCGAGTATGGTGCGAACCGCTCGCTCTTGGCGACCCCAGCGGGAGCTCGACGCTCTCGCTTGTGCAGTCGATTCTTGGCATCAAGCTTGCGCTGGTGCTGGTTCTGCCGGTTGCGATGCTCGTCGCAGAGATTGTGGGCTGTCCCTGATGTCTTGAGTGCGCGCTCATTCATGCACTTGCCAGTCTTGTAAAGGCATTTGCCACGGTAGTCGGGGCGCTCTGAGCATGGAAGCACCGTCGAGGGAGGAGCTGGCGAGGTCGAGGAAGGAGCGTGGGGGGAGGCATTGACGTCCGACATAGCACTGGCTGGTGACAGCAGGAATAGAGAGCAATGCGAGGTGCAAGTTAGAGCTGCTGAAGCTTTACGAAGGGAGGCTCCATGAGAGCACCACCCATGGCAGCGGCGTCGACGGAGCAAGTGGCAAAAGAACGGATGGCTTACCGCTCGGACTCAGAGTTTTTCGTGGACTCAGAGGATCAGCAGACTCAGTCTTTTCATTTTTTTTCTTCATAAGTTCGTATTGCTAGTAGAAAATCGAACCTAAACCTATCCACAAACAATCTGCTCCCTCAACAATCCGGGAGCACAGATTCGTACAGTAGAGTTTGTCCTCGTTCAATCAAGTACGAGGGCGGAGCAGATTAACGGATTCTGTGGTGAAGTGCTGTGACGGGGTCACACAGCACCTTGCGCTAGAGGAAGTTATCTTCCGAGAGTAAACGAACTCTCAGTGAACGGCAGTTCACAGGTCCCCTCTTTATTCAAAAGAGAGCGAAGTGACCTAATTAAGGTAGAATGTAAAATGAGTATATTTATAGGTAGATTAAAGCTTGGGTTTAATACAAACTATAAGTCACCTATAGAAATGCAATGTCGCTAACCAAATGTTGGCTTTGAACGACCTTGGTACTTTGTACCAAATATCCCGAAGTATGACGTGTCATACTCCTGATGTGACGGGGTCACACAGCACCTTGCGCTAGAGGAAGTTATCTTCCGAGAGTATACAAACTCTCAGTGAACGGCAGTTCACAGGTCCCCTCTTTAATTAAAGAGAGCGAAGTGACCTAAATAAGGTAGATTGTAAACTGAGTATATTTATAGGTAGGTTAAGTTTGAGGTTAATACAAACTATCAGTTACCTATAGAAATGCAATGTCATTTAAACAATGGTTGGTTTTGAATGACCTTGGTACCTTGTACCAAATATCCCGGAGTATGACATGTCATACTCCTGAAGTGTGAAGTGTCACACTTCATGTAACCAGGGTACACTTAGTGCTACGTACCCCGCTACATCCTCCCCCACTTAGGTTCGGTTTACCGACCAATCAGAATGAAGAGATGTTCGTCACAAACTCTCATTCTCAAAGTCGAAAACCATCGACTCGGCCGCGCGAGCGCGGCGGAGGCTCACTTTACAGTTAGAGCCTCGAGCAGCAACCTGTGCGCTCTTCGTCAAGGTCTCCACTTCGACCGTTAACATGCCTCGTGGCTCTGCTAAGAGCGGTGCTAAGACACGCTCCAAGGCTGCAGCCGGTAAGGCGCAGGCCAAGAGCACTAAGCCTCACGGCAAAGGCTCTGCACTTAAGGAGGCTACTCAGGTGGCCTCCGAGGCGATCGGATCACTCGGGTGACCGCGGCTGCGGACAA